ATCCCTGAGGGTGCAAAAAATAACCGAGGTAGCGCCGCAGACAAAAAAAAAAGTCTTTAGTAGGGTCCATTGTCATTAATTAATTGTAGTGCCTCTTGTAGTCAGCTTGCTACCTGCTTATCTCTTTGAGCTTTGAGCAGGTATTTATCTTGTTTTTTTTAGAATCTCTTTGTTGTTGTTAGTTGTTTGTTTTACAAGCATTTTATTCAGCATGTTAGGGAACAGTGTACACAGTTTTTGTATTCTGCTTAGACCACCACGAGATAGGGAGAGGGGCAGGTTTTCTGGCTAGAACCACCAGAAAAATATGTATATATATATATAGCCCATTTTTGTTTTTATGAATGACTTTAGTCTAACTCTAGTGACGAAGTATCATCTATCTGAATATTGGAGAGCTTCTAAATGTAAGCCATGTTTCAAGAAAAAATATTCTAAAAATCTCATTGTTTTATACCTTATTTTGGTTGTATGTTATATATGGAATCATTTCATTATTTTTTTGTATTAATGAATAGGGTGAGCAAACCAGTGATGGCCTTTTTTGTACTTCTTTGTTGGACATTTAGAATCTCTAATGTGTCCTTTTTCTATTTGACTCTTTAAAATTGAATAAATATTCTTTTATGCAGGTATAATCTCGTTTTAAAAAAAACACCTTTTTGCACTAATGATGGACACCCCGAACTTCAATTGTTCTAGTAACAGATTTACCTCAGAAAAACTCTAAAATCTTTATTTATCTATAAAGATAACGATAAAGATAAGATAAATGTTCAACTTAATCTTAACAAAACTGTTAATAGGAAAGTATGAAACACACTGATCTCAAGAGCTCTATAGAAAAAAATGATAGCAATTTAAAATTTTCCTTTGGAAACTTTGTTCATACAGTTGCCAATAGAGGGCATTGTTCTTCAATCTAGAAAAAACTGGAACCTTTAAATCTACAAGGAACATTATTATTTACACTTAAAGTCCAATCTGTCCATAACTAGTGCGTTCACTCTAATAGGTTAATATTTAAAAATAATTTTTCCACAAACACATTTCACCAAAAGAAAAATTAACAGGAAACATTTGTATTTGATTTTTTAAAGTTAACAGATATTTAAATATTTTGCTGGCCATTTGAAAGAATATCCTAATAAAAAATAAGTGTAAAAATTAACTTAACAATATACCACTCAATATTATCTTGTATTGTATAGTAATTGCTATGTTTGTAAGATGGTGTAGTGCATTATTTCAGCTTGCAGAGTAAATGTAAAATAAAAAGTACGTATTAAATAAGATATCTTTAACATGTGCTTCCATCGGGTAGTATATTGTATGATATTTAAAAATTTTTTTGGATGTTATTATTTTGAAATTTTTGAAAATAACTCAAAAGCCGAAACGTTAAAAAATTAACATTTTATTCTTAGTTTTTTGTGTGGGAGTATTTGTAGCATTTTATAACTCTATCGATTATTAATGTGATATGAAAAAAATATCATGCCTTTATCTACCAGTTCTGTTTCATTTATAGAGCCTTGATTAATTTAAATTGTTATACTTTAAAAAAAAAAAAATATCGGACTGAATTCGTTTATATCTCAAGAAATCGGATCATGAAGATTCAGGAATAATTTTGGTACTTGGGTCTAGAAGTTAATATATTATAGTATTGTACCTAAACAACTCGATTGATTCCTTGACATATTTCAACTACTCATCTTTTCTTGCAAGCTATAAGTTATAACATTATAATTTTTAGATATAAATCATTTTTAAATATTGAATTTCAACTGCTCCAACACTTACTAGACAAACGCTTTAAACTTTCAATTAATTACTAGTCTCATTTACATGACTATAATAAAACCTATATGGACAAACGGAGTTGGGCTTTGGGGCTTCACCAAACTATCGAATTCCTATCGTATCCAATCGTTACAATCCAAATGTTCCATATGTTGCTGATTCAGTACAAACAAGATATATATCCTTTCATGATAAATTCCAGTCCAATCCGAATTTATTTGTTCCATCTTTGCTACTTTCTTGAATCCTGATAATCCTCCTAGGTGTCTGAAAAGAAGATGGCCTTGTGATCTTACTTAGAATTATATAAGCAGCGCTACCACTAGGTAGTTTCTTGACACTTCTATTTAGATCATTATTTACAAACTATTTACTAATTGTATTTATTTAATACAGTTGTAAATTTCGATAAATAAATAAAACAAAAAATATCGAATCTTTGTTTATTATGAATTAGGTACTAGTAGCTTTATTCGGTTTGATATCCTGAATAGAAGATGTCCTGAGGAAGGAATGAGGACGATCTCCTTTTCGGAAGGGGCTATTGAAGGCGGCGATTTCGGCTCTAGTTAGATAGGAATGGCAGCGTGTCCTGCGCGTGGTGAGGGTGCCATCCTTAAAGAAAGTCCTGTCGAAAGGATTCGCTGCGGATGAAGGATAACTGCCCCTCATTTGGTTATTGATATCACCACCGTTAGAGCTCATGTCTCATTTTTCAATTTTCTTCGCCTGATACCTTTCTCAATGCGCTCCACTGTCGAAAAGAAAGATAGAAAAAAAATCGCCCACGCACCGGTTTTTCAAGATTAACAAAAGAATCGGAAGAGAAATTTAAATCCTTTTTCGCTTCATCCCTTCTTTCAGAGAGTCCTTTTATTGATTATTGGGAGGAAAATGGCTGCTTTACTTATCCTCACAGGTTTTTTCTTCTTGACCAAATTTCATAGACATTTTTTCTCTGTTGACTTACTCCTTTCTTCTATTCATGTAATGTAACGTAAACATGTTTACCAATATGTGATCATATTAAGTGTACCTACTTATCGCTTCAACGTTTTTGGCCTCAAACAATATTGAACCCAACAAATGATAGAGAAGAAAAACAGGCACGTATTGCTGGCACTAAAAATGTCTAGCACCCCATAAGACAGATACACTTTATATTAAATTAGTTATAGAGATAATTTCATTGAAGATGTATACATAGGTATACATTTATTATATTGTCACATTATATTTTATACTGTATAACTTAATTTCAACAAAAATGTGTTAGATAGATATATGTATGATAAGCATCCCTAATTCAAATATCTTTTCCTAAAAAGTTTTCAGGTTGAAATATACCAAAAAATTATTAGAAAGAGGTCATTACAAACGGAATTAGACTGTTTTACTTAATCTCTTGTACAGTTTTGTGAACTGAATTAAGTGGTGTGATATAATTTTAACCTTATATCAAGAATTTTATTTTTGAAAGTTAGAAAATATATAAGAAAATTCTAAATAACTACAGAAATTATGTAGATAAAATTTTGTTAAGAAAATGTAATTGGTAACCAATCAAAATTATTTTTCCTGATTTCAATTCAAAAAATTTAATTAAATTTTATTTTTTGTCACCAAAAATGTCATCCACTGCTCAGATATTTTCGTTTCAGACATGTTATTATTAATTAATATTTCATCATTATTTGATAACACAACATTAGTTTGGATAAATAACGATAATTAGTTAGAAAATAGAAAGAAAATTCCATTATTCATGAAAGTCGCATTGAAGTCTAACTGGCGTTGAAGTCTCTGTATTGTTTTAAGGATCACCCAGCCACCCCTTTCAATGAGGTTGTCATTTTTTTTTTTTTTAATATCATTCAATTTGCATGATTAAAATTTTTTTACATTTATTACTACAAAGTTAGTTTAAGTATTAATTGAATTTATTATAATTAGCTTTTTTTGAACGTAACGAATCGAAAAAAGTAATTATGTTGTACTGTTCTGACACCTATGCATTTTATTTTTTAAATAAATTTTAATCCATGTTTTTAAAATTTATCAACTAAAACACAAGATAAACAATATAATTATCAATAACTGACAACGCCATTTGTCAAAAAAAAAATTATATTGTAAGAAAATTTATAATAGTGAGTTTATGGACATGTTTAATATTACATTATGAGAAATTTATTTAATTTTACACACGATGAATATATAATATATATATTTGTAATTTGCACGATTTTGATGATCCGTTAGTAATTTATTTTTTATTTACGTAAAATTTAATGACTAATATTTTTTTTAGAATATATAAGTTTATTTTTGTGATTTAATTTGTTAATATTATTTAAATTTTTTTTAACCAAAAGTGATACAGGTCGCTATTGACTGAATTTAGGGCGAAAAAATTGACACTGTTTAAACACATCGACTACATACATTTTAGTATATAAAAAGAATAATAAAATATATTAATTAGTTAAATTTTTTTTTTATAGAAATCTTATTTGTATATTTCTAGTCAATATAATTCTTTAATTTTTTTAAACCTATTGCGATACAAATCGCTATTGACTTTATTTATGCAAGATAAATTAACACTGTTTAAACATATAGGCTAAGTAAGTGTATATTAGAGTGTAAATTTATTATTTATTTTGAATCCCGAACCGAACACTGTTATTATGTGTTATCAGTATTGATAAGAATCATTCCAATACTGAATATTGAAGACATCTTTTAAATTTAGTGTTACACTGTTTAGGTGTTATTAGCAAAATTTCAATTTTTTTTTTTTTTAATTTTTATTTCTTCTGTTCATTTATCCTAATTTTGGTGTCTTGAGGTTTTACTTTTATATAAATCATGGCAATTATCACCAAACATTTTATTGATACGCTATTTAATTCGAGGTTTCGGCCATACTAAGGGTCATCTTCAAGTCTTGATGAGTCCTCCGTTATATCTTGAACATTAATGTCGCAAATAATATGTGAACATTAAATTGTAAAGGTCTATAGGGGTTTCACCTACGTCATTTCTGGAGGGACTGAATTTTTATTATTGTATAGGACTAGTATTTATTTTTATTTTTTTTATAATATTTAATTTTACTATTAAGAAAATATTTAAAAAAAAAAAAAAAATTAATAGATATATAGAATAGAATAGTGGACTAAGTATCGTACTCACTGGTCCTTGGAAGACTCCTCTGAGAAGGGATCGTCCTGGTCGTCGCTCTCGCTGTGCGACCTCTTCAGCGAAGGCCGCTGAGGCTGGGGATGGTGCGGCTGAGGCCAGGGCGGAGCGTAGCCCCAGAACTCGGGTCCTTGCGGGGGTTGCTGAGGGGGCTCCGGGCCCCCCCGGGGTACGACTACGCGCCACAGGTTGAGGATCGAACTAGACGTGCGCACACACGTGGCGGCGTGTGATGAGTGAGCCGTAGTGTGGGCTGCGCACTGCCCCTCCACCTATCGCACCCCACCACTGCCTCGTGCCGCCCCCTTTATCTACCCTACTGCCCGGGGTGTGTCTATTCAAGGAGGCATAATGTATCTAGTCTGAGTAGTAGAGTATCTGGAGGACAGGGCATCCAAAAAAATAATATATTTATATATATATATATATATATATATATATATATATATATATATATATATATATATATATATTAAAGTGTATAATAATTGAAATAAAGCATTAATTTATTTAGGAAGGAGATGGTCGGAGGGAATTATTAAATAAAAATTGTAAATTGCGATTATGCTTGAAAACGTCAAAGTGAATTCGTTTATTAGGTGTGACAATATTGCAACTGTATAATTTTGGACAAATGCTTTATCACGTCATAATTGTCAGAGATATGAGTTAATCTGGTCGGCTCCATAATAAATATAAGTAACATTTGAATGAACGGTAGAATTTTACAATAGCTACATATATTTTAAAAATTGTCTGATCAATTTTTGGTTAATGTCAGTTTTCAAAGAAAATGTTATTTCGTAAACAAATTTATGCAATCGAAACAGTTGTCTTCAAAATATTTACCTTCATTTTCTCTAACGTGTTATAAACTTTTCAATACCAGAATAAAAAAAAAATCAGGATTTTGTGATAAAATGAAGTCAGAAAATGTGTTTTTGGCCTAAGATCATTTTCAAAAATTTTACCCTAAATGAAGTCCAAATTTCTGAACAGATGAAAATCTTTTGGAAATAAGGTAGGTGTGGAAGGATAGGTCCCTTCGATTAAGCAATGCAGGTTGTTTTTTGACAGGTTTTTGATGTATTATGTCAATATAACTGCAGTTCGATATGCATGTGATTAATAAGGAGAAATGAATTATTCCTGTCATTGCTCTCCACACAAAAAACAATATTTTTTTAGTGCAAATTGTTTTCAAACCACCGGCAATTGGTTCGTTCGTTATAACATCCTTCCCCAAATGCTGAAGTAATGTATTTTGCACCTTGGGTTGCATAATCTTGGAGTTTAAACTCATAAGAAAAATTGAATATCTAATAGTTGACTGTTGCATTATAAAGGAAGAAGTTGGTCCGGGTTGGCGGTCATAAATAGGCTAAATAATGGTAAAACAATTTTATTAAAAGCCGACGTTTCGACCTTCAGGGCTAGAACGGACAAGATACAAAAAGATAGAGAATTGTGCCAGTTACATAATATTTAGACAAAAATTATAAACAATGTGAATAAGCTTATTGAAAATATAATCAAATTTGTTATTTCTAATATTATTGGAATTGGCATCTCCCAAAGCCCGATAAAATAAACCTTCCCCGACCCTTCCTAAGATATTTTATTCCTCTCTTAAAAACAGTGCTAATGAAAGAAAAAAATTAAAATTCGTAGATTATATCCCATCACACATCCTGTGGTCTGTTTGATTTGAAACTTTTCATTTTGAAAATTCATAACCCCGTCGGATTCCGCCCACCTCAAAAATTGAAAACCACGTCAAAAAGTACCCCCCGCATTAATTTTGATGATGCAACTTGCGCCATAAAAACCCCTTGATTGGCATACGTCATAGACTAGGATGCACCGATTTTGAAAAGGATATTATATTATAATAAACTATATTTATAACATTATATGTATTAAACAATAATTATGTAATATTTTTACATAATTTTTCTTTTTATTGAATACTTTGGTAAAAAAAAAGAATCCATCTGTAAATCTAATACTGGAGAGGAATCCTTGAGGTCTTTGGTTCTCGACATGACGTTGATTTTGTGAGTAGTATAGAGGTCAAAAGACCCAGTTTGAATTTCACAAATGGAAAATTAAATAGGATAATGGATTTCGATAATGACATCATGAAAACGAACATTTCTATATATAATGCTGAAAATAAACTCTTATATTTAGGAAAATACATAGTCAAGATTTAAAGTCAATAGTTTTTTTATTTTTTATACAGAAGCCTTAGCTCTGATCTTCCTTGATAAAAAATGAATAAAATAAAACAACGGTTTTATGCCTGAAATTTTTTTGACTCCACTTTTCAGTTTCTTTATCGAACTAAAAAAAAATGTGTCAAATTTAATTACAGACTTAAATTTGGTTATTTATAAATATTAAATTACCGAATTGACAACTTTTTCCTTAAATATTAAGGCATGCCTCCCAATTTGAGAACCTCTGTTCTCATCCCTAGAATATTATGTTTCGAGAAAATTCCTACGTCACGTTGGCTAAAACATACCTGTTATTCTCCGTCATCCAGTTGAAACTGTGTTTGTTCAAAGAGTATTATGTTATCGAAGAAATTTTAATTCTTTCTGAGCCTATCTAGTTGTTCGATTTAATCATAGGAATAGTATGACTACCCTGTAAATGATTCAATTTATTCTATTTTTTATTCCTCTGTTAGTAATTTTTTTTCTATCCAAAATATTTTTATCTTTATATATTATTATATTTTAAATATATCCAAAATATTTTTCTATTTCTATCCAAAATATTTAACGGATAATTAGATTTTAACATTCATTCGAACCGTATCACCTCGCCTTGAACTCCCTCCAACCTGTCAACAGACACAGAGCGCACCCACAACCTGTTTCCTGAAGACGACAGACCGCCCAGACGTACTCCACCTGTTCGGCGCTGGCCGAGCCGCGTGTCGTGGCGCTGCGGGCAGCAGCAGTAGCCACGCTCCGGCTGTTATCAGGCGGCGCTGGGATTCGCTCGCAATTAGTTGTGCCTTCTCCCGCCGCCTTCCGCAGAGCCACAGGTTGGTCATCGCTGGAGGTCGTTCCTGGAGGAGTCGCTTCCTTCCATGGAGAGCAATCAAAGATACGAGTCGAGCCTAATTTTTTTTTTTTTTTTTTTTTTTTTTATCTTTCCCTTCCTCGTCATTAAGATATAAGGCTATTTTCCCGGGCCAGAGGTTCAGGGTGGAGATTTAAAAGACTCCACCGACACCGGGACGCGAACTCGTTTTTTTATCAATAGGTTGCTGGGCAATGGCGGTGCGGTGCACTTAGCGTTGCCCGAATGCGAGACCGAATCGAGTATTGGTCTTGGGAACTCCGTCTTGGTCATGGTCTTGGTCTTGCGCAAGACTCTCACAAGTCCAACTCTTACTTATTAGCTTATTACTATAGAGATATTACTGTAATTTTTTAGATAGAAGAAACATAACTAAACCCGAATGGAAAATTAGAGGAGTTAAATGCAAAAGTATATTGGTTATACTAATTATTAACATATACTAACTAAAATTGTCTAGTATTAGTAACTATTTTGCCTTAATTTTTATTTAATAAATCGATCTTTTTTACTAGTCCTGGTCTTGGTCTTGCAACAGTTAAGTAGCCTTGGTCTTGGTCTTGCAAAGTCCAAGACCGAATTTGGGCAACATTAAGTGCACTGGGCTTAGCCCGTTCGGCAATCCCTCCCACTGACAGTAGAGTCTATCTTTTATTTTATTTATTTATTTATGCCTCCCTTCCTTGCCTTTCGGGTACACGGGATTTTGCAGGGATTGCGTATCACAGACGTGCATGCCATTCCTGCTCTTAAACCACAAATTAATTTTCAATTTTGTTTTGTTTTGTCTTTTTCAAATATCTTCTGTTTTCCTTATTTTCACCATGAGTAGAGTCTATCTGCTACTATAGGCGCAGACTTGAGGGGGCCGATTGCCCCTTCAATAAAAATAGAGAGGGGATAAGAATATTGTTTCACTCTCTCCCTCTCCCCTCAACATTTCAAAGAACGAAATAAACTCAAAATCATTATCAATTAATTAATCTACAACAATGAATGGAATATGTAAACTAAAATAAATTAAGAAAATAGGAAAAGTCGATAAGCTGGCTAAGCTAAGAGATATAAGTAGGTACCCAAGTACTTTACAACTAGTGTTCTCAAAAATCGGTCTTGTTCTTCCACTTTGCAAGACCAATACCAAGGCCGCCTAACTGTTGCAAGAAGAAGACCAGGACTGGCAAAAAAATCGATTTTTTGAATAAAAAAATTAGGACAAATAGCTATTAACACTTGACAATCTTAGTTACTATATGTAAATAATTGGTATAACCAATATACTTTTGTATTTAACTTCTATAATTTTTCATTAAGGCTTAGTTAGGTTTCTCTTATCTAAAAAAGCACAGAAATGTCTCTATAGTAATAAGTAACTGCAAAACTGTTGCGAGCGTCTTGCGCAAGACCAAGACCATGCCCAAGACTGAGTTTGCAAGACCAAGACTCATCTCGGTCTTGCATTTGGGCAAGAATATTTACAAAGCATCAGCTTGCTCCCATAATGCTCTAAAATCTTTGAGAAATTTCTCTACAAACGACTTCTTGACATATTGACTATCGAAAACATAATACCTGAACATCAGTTTGGATTCCATTCAAACCACTCAACCATTCATCAACTACACCGAATAAAAGACTACATTGCTACAGCACTAGAGCACAAATTATATGCAACAGGAGTATTTCTGGATGTTGCTCAAGCGTTCGAGTCTGGCATCAGGGACTTCTTTTCAAACTTAGGACTATACTCCCTCCAACCTACTATCTAATTCTTTAATCTTTTCTTTCTGATAGATTTTTCTCTGTTTACCAAGGGCCAGACTAATAATATCTAATATTAAACCAGACTTAGCAGGAGTGCCTCAGGAGTCACTACTCTCTCCTCTCTTGCATATCATTAACACACACAGGCGGATCTACGGGAGGGGGAGGGGCTTTCGGGCTGAAGTCCCTCCCAAAATGGTAAAATATAATCATGTTTTACAGAAAAAAATATTAAAACTATCTCATAAAGAATTAATTACATTTAATCGGACTTCAACAACCACTTAAACACCAATTCATACAGATAATGAATTTCTTTCGCTTTTTTTCAAATTAATTATCATTATATATATATATATATATATATATATATATATATATATATATATATATATATGTATATATATGACAAAAAAAAATCTTTCGGGCTGAAGCCTCCCCCAAAATTAAATTCTGGACCCGCTAGTGTTAACACACATGATATTCCAGATCCTCTCGATACTCTGACCGCGACTTACGCAGATGATACAACAATCTTGACAAGATCAAAATTCGTCATACGCCTCACAGACTCTACAATATCACCTGAAACACGACTGGTGCAAACTCTGGAAAATTCGACTCAACAAACACAAATCACTAAATATCACTTTTATCCTTCGACGTGAAACTTGCCCCCCTATTATCTTGACAATGTCCAAATTCCTCAGACAGACAAAGTTCAATATCTTGGACTGACCTTAAAAGAATGACATGGGGCCCACATATCAAAAACTCTAAAGCTAAGATTACGACTATTGTACTCACTCCTTGCAAGACATTCGAAATTAAAACTTAGACAGAAATTGAATACATATATTTACCTACTTAAGCCCATTTGGACCTACGCTTCACGGATACAAGAGACAGCCAAAAATACTCACATACGTAAATTACAGACTTTTCAATCTAAAACTTTCAGGACTATCACCAAAGCTCCCTGGTACGTCAGTAACATTACTCTACATAAAGACTTACAGATGCCAACAGTTAACGAACATACTACAAAAGATTTCATATACTTACACGGACATACCAACTCATTGATTCGAGGCATGGCCACAACTAACATGCCCGATAGCACTCGAAGGAGGCTTAAAAGAAGCTGGATGAGGGACTCCTCTACTAACTTTAAATATTAAATTCATGACAGGAAGGACGCCGCTGGGCACTCCTCTCCCTCACGCCTATTCCAAGACCTATTAATCTTCTACATCTTGACATCACACTCGCTGATTGTTGGAACTTCTGACAGGTGTGAGTTGAAAAATTAAGTTTAAAAACAAAATAAAAATTAGTAGAAGAGATTCTTCATCCAATTCATTTTCACGTTTCGATCTTTTTTTTTAAATTTAAATAATAAGAAATGATTTTATAATATAATATAATTAATTAAAAATAATATCGCTTTGATAAGAAGACTTTTTTTAATATTTGTTAATGATACATACAATAATACATTTTAAATTATATCTAAACTATATTTAAAATTAAATCGAATTTCAGTTTGATAATTCATGTTGTAACATTACGTTTTATCGTTTGTTTTTTATGGCATATGTATCATTAAACATGTATTTTTGTGACAACTCGAAGATGATAATGTTATAAATCCTTTATCTTAATGATTATAATATTAAAATGCTGAAGACTTATTGTGTAATGTGTTTTGACGAGCCCCTTTAAACAAATATTTGCTTCAGACGTCAGTGTTTCAAATATTGCATCATTTCGTTTACGAATGGGGATTTATTTGAAGTATGTTATCTGTAGAGATCTCCTAGGTAAGATACTTGGTAATGAATAAGAAGTGATCAACAAAACAATGGTTAAAGTGTTAAAATGATTAAAATGTTATATAAATGATTAATAAAAAATACTTATACGGTAGCTAATAAGCGATATATCGTGGAACTTTGAAAATAATAGATTTCATAATCTACCGTCAATAATATGATGATTTGTATATTATAATTTCGTTTTTATTTGTTCTTATTCCGTTGCATCAAGGGAAAAAAAATTAATTATTTTACGGATAATTGTTTTATATTTCTTTGGTTTGCTGACTTTTCTTTCTCATTAACAGTACTTAATGGATTTTATATAAGCTTATAAAAACCTTAAATATGCAATTCCACTTTCATACGAATTTTTGTTTTGAGCTACACGCACACACGCAGACCATTTTGCGAGATTAGGTTATTTGGAATCAGGAGACCTCAAAACATGTATTTTCGTTGAAAACTCAAACTCGAAAATTTTCACGATTGCAATGCTTACCCTTAAACCAGTGAAACCTTAAAATCATAGTATAACTTCAGTAAATGCCAGTGAAAAAAATGGATGGTTTTAGAAGTCGTCGAACAGAGACCGGATAAATTGTATTTTAAATATTTTGAAACCAATATCAAGACGCCATTTGGTTCCAAATAATCAGACCATATACTTTAAGGCCCTAAAGTTCCACTGTTTTCCAGATAAATGGCAATTCTCGCCAAAACTTCTTAGGTCCCATTGGTTAATTATCACATGCTTTGGTTTTATTATTTTAATAGCCCTCGAATTAAAAATATATTGGTAAATGAGATAGAATAACTCTGATGTCCTCAGTTGTCCAGGTAACGAAGATTTTGTAAAGTGCATGGAGAATGGATAAGACTTAGGGAATTAGTTGGGGGCACTTAGGAGGTAAATATACTAAAAGCCCCCACTCCTACCTCTTACGTTTCATGCAGGGGGTGGGAGCGCCACAAATGTCTCTTTTTCCAGATTTTCTCATATATATTGAAAACGAGGCTTCGTAGATGAAACATTAATTAATTAAATCAAAATTAAAGCTAACAAAATTTCATTTAAGAAAATTTATATCTTATATAATTTTCAAGATATTCAGTAATTTAAATTGGTTATGTTCACATCACGTTTTTTGCCAAACTTGTCTTTTTTACACTTTTGTTATAAGAGAATTTTTAGAATAAAAATTTTAGAACATATTTTTTTCTTTAAATGTATCATTTATTACATATGAACAAAAAGTTACGTCACTTTCTTAATATTTTTGATAAATTTCGTTATGTTTGAAATTGCAAATGACGATTTGCAATTGGCAATGTCAATTGCTTGTCCATCCTTCCTGCACTCTACATATATTTTTTACCATTTATTGAC